ACTCTTAAAAATAAACATTAATTACTAACTCACCCATAGGATATGTGCAGTTACTCAGAAAGTACGTATAGAAAGAAGATGGGCCGTAATTACCCCTACCCTCTAGGGCCTCGTAAGGGTCATGAGAGCTTTGTGTCAAATAACATGGCGTACGGCGGGTTGAGGCAAAACTGGTGCTGAGGCTTCAGCAAATGCCTTGGACTCACGCCCGGAGGTTCAAAGCATATTTTCTAAAATTAACTCCACAGTTGAGTTCAGGCCTTAGTTTTTGCCCCTTGTGTATGGTTGAAGCTGGCAAGAATAAAGCCCTCCCATCCCAGCCCTGCTGATATCACCCACTTCCGTCTTCCACTTCCGTACAGAACTTCTTTTTTTTTATTTTCAATTTTTGAAAATCTTAATTCCAGTGTCGTTAACATTCAGTGTTGTACTAGTTTTGGGTGTACAATATAGCATTTCAACAGTGCAGGCAGAACTTTCTCTGAATTTAAATATTTGGAAACTGGTCTACATAAATGCAAAAGTCCTCGAAGAAATGCTAGCAAACCACATTCAGCAGCACCTTAAAAGTTTTACACTATGATGAAATCGGCTTTTTCCCTGGGCTACAAGGATGACTCAACTTATGCAAAAGAATAAATGTAATACTCCACATGAAAAGAGGATAAAAATCATGTGATCATCTCAAATAAATGCAGAAAGAGCATTTGACAAATTTCCACATCCTTTTATGATAAAAAGTTGGTAACAAGTAGAGGGGTATACCTTAGCATAATAAAAGGCATATTGAAAAGCACATAGCTAACATCATACTCAACGATGAAAAGCCAAAATCTTTTCCTCTAAGATTATGAACAAGGGTGCCCATTCTCTCCACTTTCATTCAACATAGTACTGGAATTCCTAGCCAGAGCAACTGGGTGAGAAAAAGAATTGAAAGTCCTCCAAAATGGAAAGGGAGAAGTAATGTCTGTCTGCAGAGGAACTGATCTTACATGTTGAAAACATGAAAGGCTGTACGAAAACAAACTAAAAACTAGTAAATCGATTCAGTAAAGTTTCAGAATACAAAGTCAATACACAAAAATCAGTTTTGCATTTCTACACACTAACTATCTGGAAAAGACATTAATAAAACAATCTGCTTGACAATAGCGACAAAAAGAACAGTTCAGAATACATGTAACGAAAGAAGTGAAAGATCTGAACACTTAAAGCTATAGAACATTGATGAAAAAAATCAAAGATACAAATAAATGTGAAGATATTCCATGTTCATTGATTAGAAGAATTAATAATGGTAAAATGTCCATTCTACCCAAAATAATCTACAGATACTTGAATGCAATCCCTGTCAAAATTCCAGTGACACTTTTCACAGAAATAGAAAAAAATCTAAAATTTATAATGAACCACAAAAGACACTGGATAGCCCAATCTTGAACAAGGGGAACAAAGCTGGAGGTATCAAACTTTCTGTCTTCAAGCAACACTACAAAGTTGTACTAATGAAACCAGTACAGTACTGGCATCAAAACAGACACAAAGACCAATGGAAAAAAAGAGAGAGCTTGGAAATAAACCCACACATGCAAAGGCAGCTAACTTTTGACAAAGGAATCAGGAATATACAATGGGGGAAAGGATAGTCTCTTTAATACATGGTGTTGGAAAAACTGGATATCCACATGCAAAAGAATTAAATTGGACCCATATCTTACACCATAGACAAAATCAACTAAAGGTGAATTAAAGGGGGCACCTGGGTGGCTCAGTTGGTTAAGCGACTGCCTTCGGTTGAAGTCATGATCCTGGAGTCCTGGGATCAAGTCCCACATTGGGCTCCCTGCTTGGTGAGGAGTCTGCTTCTCCCTCTGATCTCTTCCCTCTCATGCTCTCTTTCTCTCTCATTCATTCTCTCCCCACCAAATAAATAAATAAAATCTTTTTTAAAAAAAGATGAATTAAAGACTTAGACATTAGACCTGAAACAGTAAAGCTAGAAGAAAACATAAAGGGAAAGCTCCCTGACATTGGTATTGAAAAGAATTTTTAATTAACATCAAAGCACAGGAAACGGGTGGGACTACATCAAACTAAAAAGTTTCTGCACAGCAAAGGAAACAACAAAATGAGAAGGCAAGGAGTTTATGCTCTTTTCATGGGTACTGAATAGCAAATGCCAAAATGCATGTGTCAGTTTGTGGTGAGTGTTCTGGAGTTGGCTTTACCCTTCCAAAGGTATTTGGGTGGTATGCAATTGTTCACTCAATATTGAAAATGATGAGTAGTCAAGTTCACATTTCTCTCAGGAGTTTTCCCAAGTGTAGTCTAAAAGCAGCTCCTGGGGGCACCTGGGTGGTTCAGTGGGTTAAAGCCTCTGCCTTTGGCTCAGGTCATGATCCCAGGGTCCTGGGATCGAGCCCCATCGAGCTCTCTGCTTAGCAGGCAGCCTGCTTCCTCCTCTCTCTTTCTATGCCTGCCTCTCTACCTACTTGTGATCTCTCTTTGTCAAATAAATAAATAAAAATCTTTAAAAAAAATAAAAAATAAAACCAGCTCCTGTATGCAGAGGGTAGGGGGAGACCAAAGAAAGAGGCCAGTCCAGATTGGTAGGTGGCTGTTTTAATAAGCAAAGGGAACATAGTATGAGGCTTGTCTGGGGCAGCAACAAGACGAATGGATCCCTGCACCGCATGTCAAATCTGAGAAGTTTATGAAGAGGCCTTAACTGGGTTCAGTCACATACATTGTGCAGGTGTTCTCAACACCACATCATGATCTCAAGGCTGTGTCCTTGGAGCAGTCTCTGGGAGGGAGAAAGACAAGCAGGACCCACATTCCAAGGACAGCGAAGGGGTGAGGAGCCTTGGAGTGCCCGGGGTCTAGCTCACAGGTCAACTGGTGGTCATATCTTTTTGGTGACGTTTTCCAACAGATAAAAACCAGTATATACCAACAGTTAAACATGAGAAATGTCAGATTTCCTTTAACAGCAAAGAAAATGATTAAAGTAACATTTTGTATTACCTAACTGAAACTTTATGCCTGTTGATTAGTAACTTCTCATTTCCCCCTCCCTCTAGCTCCTGATCACCATCATTCCACTCTGTATGAATTTGACTAGATTCCTCCTCACCTAAGTGGAGTCATGCAATACTCGTCTTTATACTGTGTCTGGCTTATTTCACTTGGCATCATCTCCTCAGGGTCTATCATGTTGTCACGTATTGCAAAACTTCCTTTTTAAAAACTGAGTAATATTTTGTTATTTGTGTATATTGTGTTTTCATCATCCATTCACCTGTTGGCGGGCATTCAGTTTGTCTCCACATCTTAGCTATCATGAATCGTGTCGCAGTGGACATGGACTTGCTAATATCTCTTCCAGGTCCTTTTGTGTGTGTGCCTGGAAATGGAATTACTACGTCATGTGGCAGTTCTGTTTCCAGTTATTTTTTTTTTAAGATTTTATTTATTTATTTGACAGAGTGAGATCACAAGTAGGCAGAGAGGCAGGGAGAGAGAGAGAGGAGGAAGCAGGCACCCCACCAAGCAGAGAGCCCGATGCGGGACTCGATCCCAGGACCCTGAGATCATGACCTGAGCCGAAAGCAGAGGCTTAACCCACTGAGCCACCCAGGTGCCCCTCCAGTTATTTTTTGAGGAAAGTCCATGTTGTGCTTCATAGCCCTCTACGATTTTGCATTCCCACCGACAGTGTGAAAGGGGTCCAGTTTCTCACATCATTGGCAAGACTCGTGTTCTGCTTTTTGGATAATAGTTGTCCTGTTGGGTGTGAGGTGATGTCTCATTGTGGTCTTGATTTGCACTTCCCTGATGATTAGGGACCATGAGCATTTTCTCATATACCTGTTGGCCATTTGTGTGTCTTTGGAGAGACTTCTGCTCTCTGGGTGTTGAGTTTGATAAGTTCTTTTTTTTTTTTTTTTTTAAGATTTTATTTATTTGTCAGAGAGAGAGCGCCCGCGCTCAGAAGCAGGGCAAGGGGCAGGCAGAGAGAGGGAGAAGCAGGCTCCACGCTGAGCAGGGAGCCCGATGCGGGGCTAGATCCCAGGATCCCGGGATCATGACCTGAGCCGAAGGCAGCCGCTTAATGACTGAGCCTCCCAGGCGCCCTAGATTTCCAGTCCTTGGAGGAATTGAGAGCTGGGCTATGGAGTCGTGGCATTTGAGGAAACAGTACTCGCGGGGTTCAGACAGTCACTGAGTGGTTCTGCATGCAGGAAGGACGTTTTCCGGGAATCAGAAGCACAGTGTCACCCTTAACACCTCCTTCGGGCCGGTCGTCCCGCCCCCGTCTCCACTCCACAGCTCCGTCGGAAGCCTTTTCTTCCCGCCCTGGTCCAAACAGACCGCTGGTTAAAACAGACTCCAGAGATTGTATTTGAAAAGCGACAGCGTCGCAGACAGCTGTGAGTGGACGTGGTGCCGGGATACGGTGCGTCCCTTCGGACGTGTGGCCTTGGGGCGCTTCCAGTGCTTCTTAGCATACGAAGCAATCGCACCCCGACCGGTCTGTGACTTCCCAGGGAAGCCTGCGCTCCAAGAAATCCTGTAGGTCCCGTTTAAGAGCGGATGAGACCCCGCCCCGTTAGGGGCCACGGGACTCCATTTCCCAGAGCCCCTGAGGAGGCCTGCCAAGCTTAATCCGCGTGGTAGGAGAGGGGGCCTTTGGCTAAGAGGGGAACGTGACAACGGTAGCGGAAACTACGATACCCATAAGTCTGCGGGGCGCGGCCGCGACTGAGCCAATGAAGCCTTGAGAGAGCGACGCCTGCATGCGTGCGCGCCGAGGGGCGGGACTTCCGGCGTTCCCGTTCTGCGTCAGTTGGTTGCTCTTGGGTTCGGAGATTCAAGGCTTCCAAGGCGTTTGGCGGTTGCGGAGGTGACGGGGCGGGAGAACGAGGGGAGCGGCGTCGTCCCCGCCGCAGAGGCCGCTACGAGGCTCTCCCGTTTCCGCCCGGTCGCCCGCCGCTCCCCGCCCTGCTCTTCCCGCCGGTCGTTGGCGGAGGCCGCGCCGATGAAGCCGGCTCAGGTGGGTGCTGCGACCCCCGGGCCCCCAGCCGCCTGCCCCGAGCGCTGCAGCCGGATGGAGGGGCGCCCGTGCAGCTCCCCGCAGCCGGGCCGGCAGGGCGGGAGCAGAGGGCGCCCTGGCGTGCGGTCCCAGCTCCGTCGGTGCGGTGGGGCGTGGCGGGGGAGGGCCCGGCAGGTGCTCCTGAGTCGGGGCCGGGGTGCGGGGGAAGGCGAGCCTCTCGCGGGTGCGGGGAGCGGAGGGCGAGGCGGAGTGCCGCCTGCAGTGGTGGCGTGGGCAGCCCGGTCAGCTGAAGGTCGGAAGGGGCGGGGTTGGGAGAGGGCCCTGCGCAGAGTCACAAGTTTAAGGCAGGGGAGCGCAGGATGGGGACCGGCGCGGAGACAGCGGAGGACACACTGTAGCCCCCCGCCCCCGGGGGCAGTTCTGATGGCGGCTGGGCCAGGACGGCGGCGGCGGCGGCGGGAGATGCGATGAGATCCCGCGTGGAGTCCACAACGGAACCCACGGGGTTTCGGGCCACATCATACACACCTGTGAGCAGAGCTAGCGAGGGAAGGGCCATATCCAGGCTTCTTGGCTTGAACATCTAAAGGGTGGAGGCGGGGGATCGAGCCCAGGGAGCAGGAGGCAGAAGATCCTGAGTTTGGTTTTGGACGCGCGGATGCTGGGATACCGTGGATGGAGATACTCATGAGTACTTGCAGGTAACGGTCGGGAGAACAGGCGGGGTTGTCCTGTCAAGGGTGCAGAGGGCGTGCACTGCGGCAGAGCAGGGCCTGAAGGCAAGATCAAGGAGCGAGGCCTATTCTAGATGGTGAGGGAGGCAGAGGCTGAGTTGGTGGGCAGGGCGTGGGAGGCGGTTGTCCGCATCCCTGACGTTTCCGTTGAAAAAAGAGCGGGTGTGCTGTAGGAGAGGTCTGTCCCTGTGTCTTTAAGAAGGGAGGTGTTGGGTTGAGGAACTTCCCTCGGGTGGAGCTGGTGTTATGTGGTGGTGTTGACTGTCTGCTTGCGGCTCAGCTGACCCTCAGGACCACTCCCAGTGGGACAAAGGAAAGGTCAGCCAGGCTGATGGAGCCTCAGGGTCCCAGACAGGGGACTGCTTCCTCACCTCTCAGGGCAAGACGGATGAGCTGCTGTCCAGTCAAGGGCCTCCAACAAGCTCCCTGAGGGTTATGTAACAGGCAGGTCTTGTTGCTGTATGGACTATTTGAGCTTGTCTGTCTGCTCAGCCTTTTCCTACAACTCGTTACCTTAAAAACGTGTAAGAAAATGCATTGATTTAAGTACTCATTAATCAATGTTCTTTTAAATATGTACGTAGAGGTAGACAGAAACAAACCTATTCTGCAAGTTAAATTTATACAAACACTTCATAATTGATTTGATATTAAGTTACCTGTTGTTTACAGTGTAAAGTTTTATGTATGATATCTTCTGAAATCTTAGAAAGTGGTAAAAATGAAGACCTCAGATTCCAAAACCCTAGTACTTCATTTGCACTGAAAATGTATACAGAAGTGTTGATCCTCTGGACAGGAACAGTCGTCACCCGCCTGATAAGAAGCAGCTGTTTTCTGGAGGAGCTGGACTTGAGCCACCAGGCTGAGATCACTCTGCTCCAGGGCAGGGCAGGGCAGGGCAGGAGGAGTGGTGGTCCAGCTCAGTTCATGACATCCTTCCATGGTTACTCATTTCTCATGATCTCCCTCCTCCCATAGGATCCAGCAGTGGTGGCAGAAATGCTTATGGACCCTGTGCAGGTGAGGGGGGGGGGTCCCTCCTTTCAGCCATCCTTGTTGTCACCGATATATGTACCCTCAGAGAGAGGTACTGTCCTGAAGCTTCTCTTACCCTTCTCACTCTCTTAAGTCTGAGGACCATGTGCTTTCCCCGAGCCCAGGATCATGTATTTAGATTACATGCAGGGCAGTTCCCGTTTCTAACCAGTGATGTAAGATGCGGCACTCAACCCTGGCCGCAGGATTCAGAATGTTCACACACTTGGAGGTGAGACTTAGCTGGGATGTTCAGGAAACCGCAGGTCTCTTTTATAGCTGGTGTGAATGGGGAGCCAGGTTGGGCTTGGCTAGGGGTGCACAGGTGTCAGACCTTGAGTGACAGCTGGGGCTCTGGACCTCTAATCTGTGGTTGCTGGGAGGTAGGGAAGGTTTGAAACAGAAGAGGAAGGTGTGTCGGAGATTTTAACAAATTCCCTTTGGCTGCAGAGGGGAAGACAGACGGGCGGGGTGGGGGTTGTAAGTGAAATGCTGCGGCAGTCCAGGTGAGCATTGTGGCGGCGGCTGCCCAGGACCTGTGGCCGTGCATGTAGAGGAGCTGTTGGTTTCTGAATGTGTGTTAAACAGTGCTGCTCATATTTTGGGATGTGGAGACTCGGGGAGATGAGGAAGCAGGCCAGCAGGAAGAGTCAGGGATGCCCCCAGCTTTGGCCTTGTTAGGAAGGATGGATGCTTGAACTAAAACGGAGGAAGTCAGTGGTATGAGGAATTTGCAGGGGGAACATGAAGAGTCAGTTTCTGTCTGTCACAGAAATCCCAGAGATTCCAAGGAGAGGTGTCCAGTAGGTGCTTTATTTTTTTTTTAAGATTATATTTATTTGAGAGAGAGTGAGCATGTGGAGGGGGTAGGGAGAAGCTGACTCTGCACCGAGCAGGGACCCCAACACGGGGCTCCATCCTAGGACCCTGGGATCATATCCTGAGCTGAAGGCAGATGCTTAACTGAATGAATCCCCCTGGTGCCCCTCAAGTAGGCACCTGAACACAGAGTCCTGGAGTTCGGGGGATAGAGTCAAGCTGGGGACAACCACAGCACGGTGGCTGGGGTGTGGGCTGGGTGGAAGCTGTGGGTCAGATTGAGGAGGCAGTATCTGTAGGTTATGGGGGTGATGCCATTTGAAGAGCATGAGTGAGAATGAGGGGCCTGAGTACTGGGGTTTTTTGTTTGTTTTTAAAAGATTGATTGGGGGCACCTGAGTGGCTTAGTGGGCTAAAGCCTCTGCCTTCAGCTCAGGTCATGATCTCAGGGTCCTGGGATCGAGCCCCGCATCGGGCTCTCTGCTCAGCGGGGAGTCTGCTTCCCCCTCTCTCTCTGCCTGCCTCTCTGCATACTTGTGATCTCTCTGTCGAATAAATAAATAAAATCTTAAAAAAAAAAAAAGATTGATTGATTGATTTGAGAGAGAGAGTGCCTGAGTGCAGGGAGGGGCAGAGGGAGAGAGAGAATCCCAGACCGACTCCCTACTGAGTGCAGAGCCCAGCGAGGGCCTCCATCCCATGACCCATGAGATCATGACCTGAGCTGAAACCCAAGAGTCAGATGCTTAACTGACTGAGCCACGCAGCCGCCGTGTCTTCATTGGGCACCTGGGTGGTTGGGGGGGGCATCACAAAGCTGAGGAAGCTGAGTGTGTGTGTGTGTGTGTGTGTGTGTGCGCAAGAGAGAGAGAGGGACACGGGGAGAGAGAAAGAGACAGTGGGTATAGGAGTGAGAAAGTCTTCTGAGACCGGACTGCACCTGCACAGATGTTGTGGGGGAAGCCGGCCAGCCTGACACGGTGCTGGACCTCATGTGGAGTGGGCCTGGGGAGGTGCGGGTGCCTGGCCTTCAGATGAGGAGAAGGGAAGGTTCTGACTGCTTAGGGGACAGCTGGTGTGATACAGAAGTGGGGAAGGGCCGAGAGTGTGTGATGTCCTCACACGGGCAGGTGGCTGGTGGTGATGCCGGAAGCCAGGCCTGATAGGGAGACGTTCAAACCAGGCTTGGGGCTGGACCTGGTGCTGGGGGCCTTGGGGACTTCCGGTGTTCAGGGGCGGGGCCAGGGCTGAATCAGATCCGGGATGTATTTGCCTATTAGGTCGTGAAGGAGATGCCAATGGTGTGGGCCAGGGGTGTCTGGAGTTGTCACTGTGGAGGAGTCAGGGTTGTGTAGAGGGGCTGAGTCCAACGACCAACATGCAGGTGAGGCAGAATGTGAGTGGTTGGCTCGGGGTGCTCAAGGGAGAGGGACAAGTCCAAGTTTGACTTGAGCGTCTGAGTCTCATCTCTCAGATAAGACCGGGGGGACCCCAGGGCAACTGGCTGTCAGGCCCATGACCTAGATGATGTTCTCCTGCCCCTTCACTCCTCATGTCTTACACCACCTTCTGGACTCACTGGTCAGTGGGAATGAGGCGAGAGCAGGCACCAGTGTAACTCTTCCGCACTGGGAAGTCAGGGAGGAGGATGGTGGGGGGCATGTGTGTGGGAAGGACATAAGGGCCTGGCGAGAGAAGTGTATCCCATACTTGCACCGACGGGAGTTTAATTTATGGAGGTGGGTGAGTGATGACATGGAGAGACCAATGATACTGAAAGGAGGTTCTTACTCTGTTTCTCAGGGGGGTGGGAGCACATCGGGTACAGGGCCACGTGGCCAAGCGCCCGGCTTGGTGAGGAGGCATATATGCCAGCAGAAGGACGCCTAAGGCCAGAGCCTTTATTGAGCTTTCTGGGAGAAATGCCGGAAGACTGGGGTGAGCAGCTTGGTGACGACTATTTTCTGTAATTTCCCTGTATGTGGGGTGGAAGGGGCATCCCTGGCTGTCTGGTACCCATCCTGCTTGATTTCGGGCAAGGCAAGTGTGGCTTGGTGTACGAGTTCAGTGTGGGCTACGAGTTGCAAGGGAGATGGAGAAGCACATCTGGCTGTTCGTTTAGCGCGTGATTAGCGGATGGCGAATACTAACTAGAGAATGCACAAGGCACAGGTCACACAGGAAGCTGCTTGTGAACCAGATGTTCCAACTTCAGCAGTGCCGTGTGGTCTTGGAGGACGTGGCCATCTGTTTCTCCCAGGAAGAGTGGGGCCTCCTTGACGAAGCTCAGCGATTTCTGTACCACGCCGTGATGCTGGAGACCTGCGCGCTTCTGTCCTCCGTGGGTAAGGCCTGCACCACCCCCGCTACGTCCCGGACTGGGCTCTGCTCTTCCGCTTTGGTGGAGGGGCAGCTCTGCCTTTCCACAACGAGACTGTGGGTACTTCTTGCTGTCGCGGTTTCCCGGCATCTGTGTCACTGGTGCCAGACCTGGGCCGTGCGCCCTGCACCCACTCTCCCGATGCAGTCCCATCCCTGCTGCTTGGAGCACTTGCAAGATCGGGCTCAGAAGTCAGAGATGTTCAAGTTTGTCTCGGATATCCCTCAGACCGCCCTTGTCCCTGGTTGGGTCACCTTGTCTAGATGCATGGAACTATGATGCTCCAGGCTTTCCCCCTTCCTCTTGCTGACATTTCTTGGGTCCTCCCTGTGCCAGAAATTTCAGGCACCAACCTAATTACTAATTTGGGGGCACACTGGGTTGTTTCTATAGCCTCTCCTGTGAAGTTCTTGTAATTTTAAGATGTTGGATATCCTGTGTTGGGTTGCTCGGGGTGCACGCTGGCCTTGCCTTTTCCTTTCTTTCATCTAGGACTGGCCTGTCTCAGGTGTCACATCAGTAGTACCTACCATGTGGACATTACTGTGTCAGTGGCAAGAGACACTCAAAAGTGTGTGGCCCTGGTGTGAGGGAGCAGTGGAAGGGTGTGTCAGAGTTGGGGACCTGTCCTTTGCTCACCACTGATTGATGCCAAGGTCAGGGGCCACATCTCATTTCCCCCTTTCGTTCTCCACTTTCGTGTCTGAATTCGAATCTTCCTTCCAGCACAATCCCAACACCTGCAGGCCTTGGCCCCTGACTGTGTCACTGCTCCCTGGGTGGGGCTCGCCGACGTCTGAGCTCTACTGAGGATATGGTGTGGTCCACACATACCCTTAAGTAGTTCTGGAGTTGCAGTGTGTCCGTGTGGTTCGTTATTTCTAGGTCTGTTTAGTTTTCTGCACCAGGCTCACCGGTCACCAGCAGCTATGGCCCTTTGCACAGCAGAGACTCGAAAACCCCATCTCCTCCCTCCCCGGCACCTGCTCTGTCTTGAGTGTTTGTGCGCCACCACCCGCCACCAGTGCATATGTTGCAACCTCATTCCCGGTGTGATGGTGCTGGGAGATGGCGCCTTCGAGGCGTGCTTAGGTCATGAAGGCAGAGCTCCCACAAATGGGGTTAGTGCTCTTGTAAAGGAGACTCCACAGAGCCCTGTAGCCCCTTCTGCTGGGTGAGGACATGGTGAGAAGTTGGCAGCCTGGAAGAGAGCCCTCATCTGACCGTGCTGGCACCCTGATCTCGGAATTCCAGCCTCCAGGACTGCGAGAAATAAATTTCTGCCGTTTTTAAGCCTCCCAGTCTGTGGGATTTTGTTGTGTCAACCCAGATGGACTAAGACAGGACCCTCCCTCGTGTCCTTCCCCAGAGTCAGGGCTCTCCCATCACGGGGGCTTGCCAGGCTGAGCTCTGCACCAGAGGCCTTCATTTCCCTGTCTCGAGCCCCCCTCGCCCATCAGCGGTCCCGTGGCCTCGTCCGTGGGTGTGTCTGACACATATTCCCCATGGGGCCGCCACCTCTCACCAAAGTCAGGGGGCAATTTACCAGCATTTCTCTGCTTACAGGTTGCTGGCACGGAGCCCAGGACGAGGAGTCCCCTTCAGAGCAAGGTGATTCTGTAGGAGAGTCACAGGTCAGGACTTTAAAACCAGGCCCACCCACCCAGAAGTCCCAGCCCTGGGAGATGTGTGGCCCACTCTGGAAAGACCTTTTGCGCTTGGCTGAGCATGATGGAATGAACCCTGACCAAGAGCTATCTGTTCGTGGGGCAGACCTGCACCGGCACCAAAAGGAGCAGATTGAAGACAGATTTTCCAGAAGGGATGAGGGGAGTCCTTCCTTTCCAGTGAATGACAGCGTTCGCGTGGCAGAGAGTAGCTTCACATGCAGCAAAGGCAGGGAGGACTTCCCAGCCAGCACGGGCCTTCTCCAGCACCTGGCCCCTCACCATGCACTGAAACCAGACAGGGACACTGAGCATGGGGAGACCTTTGAAGCTGGACAAAATGATTACAAGTGCACTCAGTGTGGGAAAGCCTTCAGCCAAAAACAGGTCCTTGCTGAGCACCAGAAAATCCACACTGGAGTAAGACCTTACGAATGCGGCAAATGTGGGATGGCCTTCGTTAGAAAATTTCACCTTGTTCAGCACCAGAAAATTCACACTGGAGAAAGGCCTTTTAAGTGCAATGAATGTGGGAAATTCTTTAGGTACAACTCCACGCTCGTTAGTCACCAGAGAGTTCACAATGGATTAAGCCCTTACGAGTGTAGCAAATGTGGGGAGTTCTTTAAGTACAATGCCAACTTCATGAAACATCAGAGAATCCACGACGGAGAAAGGCCTTACGAATGCAGAGAATGTGGGAAATTCTTCAGGTACAACTATCGGTTGATACGACACGAGAGAGTTCATACTGGAGAAAGGCCTTATGAATGCAGCGAATGTGGGAAATTTTTCAGGTACAGCTCCACATTCATTAGACACCAGAGAGTTCACACTGCAGAAAAGCCTTATGAGTGCAGTGAATGTGGAAAATTCTTTAGGTACAATTCCACACTCATTAAACATCAGAGAGTTCACACTGGAGAAAGGCCTTATGAGTGCAGCGAGTGTGGGAAGTTCTTTAGGTACACCTCCACACTCATTAGACATCAGAGAGTTCACACTGGTGAAAGGCCCTATGAGTGCAGCTTATGTGGCGAATTCTTTAGGTACAAGTCCAAGCTCATTAAGCATTGGCAGAGTCACACTGGAGAGAGGCCTTATGAGTGCAGCGAATGCGGGAAATCCTTTAGGTATCACTGCAGACTCATTAGACATAAGAGAGTTCACACCGGAGAAAGGCCTTATGAGTGCAGTGTCTGCGGGAAATTCTTCCGGTATAACTCCAACCTTATTAAACATTGGAGAAATCACACTGGAGAGAGGCCTTACGAGTGCAGCGAATGTGGGAAAGCCTTTAGCCACAAGCATATACTTGTTGAGCATCAGAAAATCCACACTGGGGAAAGGCCCTATGAGTGCAGCAAATGTCAGAAGGCCTTCATTAGAAAGTCCCACCTCGTTCATCACCAGAAAATCCACAGTGAAAACAGGTCTGTGAGCACCATAAATATGGGGAAATCTTGAGATACAACTTGAAGCCACTGACCAGAGAATTCCATTGGCAAAGAAACTCAGGAGTGCAGAGAAGAGGGTGAAGCTTTAGGCACTGCTCTAAACTCAGTACCCAGAGGAGCACCTTACAAGGACAGCGGATGTGCAGCATGGTTTTGGTACAGCTCGCCACTCATTAGGCATCAAGAGGTCACGGGAGGAAGGCCTTCTGAGGGCCATCAGTGCGCAGCCTTAGCACAACTCCAGCCTCATTACACATCAGAGAATTCACGATGGAAAAAGACCCTATTTGTGCAGCAGATAGAGGCCTTTGTTCATCTCAAACTCCAACCTTTTTCTGCACCAAGAAGTTCACACCGCGCCAGAGAGCATTGCAGAGGGGGAAAGACTTCAGCCAAATAACCTGCTCTGACCTGTCCCTGGGACCTGCTGAAAGACACTTCTTCATTTCACATTTATGTTGGGGCAAAGTGCATGTAGCAGTTTACCCTGTCTTTGAGTCGCACAGTTTAGTAGTTTCAAAAATTCACATATTTATGCAACTAATTTCCAGAATTCCCTTCATCTGGCAAAACTGAAGCTGTACCCATGGAACAGCTCCTCCTGCCCCCTCCTGACCACCCCCGGAAGCTGTAGTTTTACACCCGGTCTTTGTGAACTTGACCACTCCGATACCATATGTGAGTGGAATCAGACAGTATCGGTCTTTTTGAGACTGGCTTGTTTTTCTTAGCTGGATTTCTCCATTTATCCAGCATTTCCTTCTGTTTTGAGAAGGGATCAGAGTTGACAAACCTAAGATACAGGAAAGGGTGTTGATGGAGTCAGTACAGCTTTGCCAGATGTTATATTATTTCCAGAGGAAGAGGAGAACCAGATTTTATATGGAATCTTTATTTCTAAACAGCTTTACAGAGGTATTGACATAAACTACGTTTATTAAAAGTGCAAACTATATTTTCATATATGTGTGCACAGTGGGAGCATCACTGGAGTCACGATGACTAATCCATAGGCCCTGTAGTTTCCATTAGCCCCCTTCCTATTCTCTCTCTCCCAGCCCTACCCACTTGCCAGCCCTGGATGGGACTTTAGTTTGCATTTGCTAGAATTTTATATAAAGGGAATCCAACAGTTAACTCCTGAATAGCTGTTTTCACTAAGTGCATATATGTATTTTTAGTATTATCCATGTTGTGTGTGCAAAAGCGTGGCATTCAATAACAAGCAAGGCTCTGTGGCACATCTTAGAGCCGCATTGTCTATAACAACAAAGGTGGTAATCACTGAGTGAAAGAGTTGTTTAGAATGGGAGAGTGAGGGGCGCCTGCAGGGCTCAGTCATTCAGTGCTTGCCTTCTGATCAGGTCATGATCCCAGGGTCCTGGGATCGAGCCTTACATCAGTCTCCCTGCTCAGCGGGAAGCCTGCTTCTCCCTCTCCCACTCGCCCTGCTTGTATTCCCTCTCTCGCTGTGTCTTTTTCTGTCAAATAAATAAATAAATCTTTTAAAAAAATGAATGGGAAAATGAAGTTTAAAGTAAATTTAAGTTCAGTTTCATATGAATTCATTTTCAAAAGTTTTTGAACCATCTGAACCACCTTTCTAGAAAGTTCTTGTTTGGCTTTTTTTCTACTGGTGTTTTTAAGCTATGTCTTTGTATCATAAAAATTCTTAGGGTATTTAAAAAAAATTTGTTATTGTATAGAACACACATAAAGTTTATCATCTTGTTATTGCTAAGTGTTCACTTCTGTGGCATATCAGGTTCCTCAGAGAAACAACCATCAGGGTGTATGTGTAGAGAGAGAGGGGAATATGTGTTTTTTAAAAGACTTATCTAAAGCCTTTGTGATGGCTTGGCAAGTAGAAAATCTGCAGGATAGGCCAACAGGCTGGGAATCGAGGAAGTGTTGACATTCAAGGCCCAAAGGCAGTCTGCTGGTAGGATTTCTTCTTGCTTGAGGTCATCTTTTTGTCGTGTAATCTTCAAACCAGGTGGCTCATTGAGAAATTTAGAAAGTGCAGCAACAAAGCATTATAGAATAGGAAATTGAAAGAAAACAGTTTGAGAGTGAGACATGGGGAACAATTCCCAATTCCACTCCCTGATTATACTTGTCAAATCTCAACATGCACAAAATATTTAATGAAAAAATTATCTATATTTATATTTACATTTAACACTTTCTGTTTCATGAATCACTAAGTTCTATACCTGAAAAAAATCTCAATATATATGTTAACTAACTAGAATGTAAATAAATTGAAGTTTTAAAAAAACTTCATAAAGCTTCATAAAGCTTATTAGTCAAAATTTTAAGATTGGGGTGATTGAGAAGATATTTAAAATAAATGATCCTAGTTTTAGATAATTATAGACATGCACATTCTAAATTCTTAGTAAGAAACAAGTTAGAGACTAGAACAAAATATGAGAAGACAGGGACTTTTGTGTTCTAGCATGTAAGAAGCTGGAAATTGCCATTCGATCCTGACAAGTAAAAAGCTGAAAATAATGGAAGATCAACAACTCTTCTTAGTCTATAAGACAAGTGAGGTGGCAAGATAAACTGCTGTTCCCCAGATTAGTCGACTACAACAGGAACAGAGAATGAAGGAAACCCAGGAGCTGACCCTCCTCCATCCTCCATGAACCCCAGTGCTATGGTAGGAGAACCTAAATCATCACACATCTGGGAATTTTCCTCACACCGAATATCAGAGAAAAAGACCCGTGTGCAGGGAGAAGGACAAAGGAGCCATTTTGAAAAATATCTGGACATCCTGTTCTTAACAAGGACTGCACTCAGAAGAATCAGCTGGGGATTTTTCAGAGCCTTGGAAATACCCAAATCCAGACCACTCTAGCCATCTTGTCCCACTTACGGTGCTGGAACTGGGGAAAATGTATGAAATTCGTAGGCCAGAAGCAAAGTCTCACTGAAAGACAGACCTAACTCTAGTCCTATAGTATGCTTCCTCTCATAACTGCCACCAGTTACCACCACATTGCAAAACTTCTATTTATAGCAGTTTATTTTACCAGTACACCATGTCCCAAGTATTAAGAAAAAGTTACAACACATACTAAAAAGGCTAAAATCAAAATTTGAAGAAACAGAGCATCAGAACCAGACACAGGGATGTTGGAATTGTCAGACCAGGGGATTGTCAGACGACAGTTGTTTTAAATCAATTGTCATTAAGATGCTAAGGGCTGTGATGGTTAAAGTAGACAGCAAGAATAGATTGGTAATGTAAACAAAGTGATTGAAAATCTGGCGGTTGGGGGGGAGTAACATAAAAAACACTAACAAAAATGAAAAACGCCTTTGATGGGCTTGTTGGTAGACTAGACAGACATGGCTGAGAAAAGAAATGAGCTTGAGGGTATTTCAGTAGAAATGGTCAAAACTGAAAACCAAGCATACAGAAAATACTAAAAAAAAGAATATCCAAGGACTATGTAACAACTGAATATATGTAACATAAATAATAATACCAGAAGGAAATGAAAGGGAGGAACAGAAGAAAGTTTTGAAACAATAGTGGCTGAGAATTTCCCCCAAAGGTAGCCAAATTTAAACATTCAGGTACCAATACAAGAAGCTCAGAGAACAACAAGCAGGAAAGATGCTAAAAGAAAAAACTACACCTAGGCATATAATTTTCAAACTACAGATAATCACAGATGGAAGAAAAAATCCTGAAAGAAGTCAGAGGAAGGAAACACTTCACCTGTAAAAGAGTAAAGGTAATGACATCCAACTTTTCAGAAGCCATGCAAGCAAGACGAGTGGAGGGCAATACTTAAAATGTTAAGAACTCTACCAACCTAGAATTCTATACCCTGTGAAATTATCCTTTCAAAAATGAAGGAGAAATAAAGGATTTCTCAGAAAAACAAAAATGGATAGAATTTGTTACTAGTAGACCTGCCCTGCAAAAAATATATATATAAAAAAAAGTTCCTTAGAGAAAAGGAAAATGACATAGCTCAGAAGCTCAGATCTACAAAGAAAGAAAGAGCATCAGGAAAGGAATAAGTGAAGGCAAAATAACTTACTTGTCTTATTCTTAACTGATCTAACACATTACAATTGATCTAACACATTACATCTGATCTAACACATAACAATTGATCTAACACATTAGTTTGTCCAAAAAAAATAGCAATAATGTACTTAAGTATATATGTATATGGATATATATATATATATATATATATGAAATGAATAACAGCAATGACACAAGGGAGAGACAAAGAAATTAGTATTACTTTGTTATATTAAGGTACACACACTACCTGTGAAATGGTAGTGTTATTTGAAAGTGGATTTGGGTTAGCTGTAGATATATACTGTAACCTATACAGTAACAAGTAAACAAAGTAAAAAAATAACATTGAAAAGGAGAGTAAATGGAATCCATAAAATGCTCAAACTACAAAAGGAAGGAAAAGGGTTGAGGACAACAATAGGAACAAATTACAAGGGTAATGAATAGAAAACGATAACCACTGTGCTAGATTAGTAATCCAACTATATCATCAATTACTTTGAATGTCTAAATTCAATCTGAAGAAAGATTGTTAGAGTGGATCAAAACACAAGACCCAAGTATATGTTGTTTACAAGAAGCCCACTTTATTTTTTCTTAAGATTTTTTTATTTGTCAGACAGAGATCACAAGTCGGCAGAGAGGCAGGCAGAGACAGAGGGAGAAGCAGGCTTCCTGCTGAGCAGAGAGCCCGATGCGGGGCTCGATCCCAGAACCCTGAGATCATGACCTGAGCTGAAGGCAGAGACTTTAACCCATTGAGCCACCCAGGTGCCCAAGAAGCCCAATTTAAATATAAAGATACCAATAAATAAATAAATAAATAAATAAATAGATAGATAGATACATCCAAATAGATTAAAAGGACGGAGAGGAACACACCATGTGGACACTAAAAGAAGCAGGAGTGGCTATATTGCTTTTATTTTATTTTTTTATTAACATAAAATGTATTATTAGCCCCAGAGGTACAGGTCTGTGGATCGCCAGATTTACACACTTCACAGCACTCATCATAGCACATACCCTCCCCAATGTCCATCACCCCACCACCCTCTCCCTAACCCCTTCCCCCAGCAGCCCTCAGTTTGTTTTGTGAGATTGAGTCTCTTACGATTTGTCTCCCTCCCAATCCCATCTTGTTTCATTTATTCTTTCCTACCCCCAAACCTCACACGTTGTATCTCCCCTTCCTCATATCAGGGAGATCATATGATAGTTGTCTTTCTCCAATTGACTTATTTTGCTAAGCATAATACCCTCTAGTTCCATCCACATCATTGCAAATGGCAAGATTTCTTTTGATAGCTGATATATATATATATATATATATATATATATATATATATATATATGAATATAGGTATATATGTGTGTGTGTGTGTGTGTGTAACACACACACACCCCACGTCTTCTTTATCCATTCATCTGTTGATGGACATACAGGTTCTTTCCATAGTTTGGCTATTGTGGACATTGCTGCTATAAACATTTGGTGCACGTGCCCCTTCGGATCACTACATTTGTATCTTTAGGGTAAATACCCAGTAGTGCAATTGCTGGGTCATAGGGTGGCTCTATTTTCAAC